AGTGCACGGGGGTCAGTGTTTATCACGTCCTCACCACCCCGTGTTACTCTGGTGCGTGTCTAACTCTGGCCATCCAGTGGGTGCACAGTGCCATCTCACTGTGGCTCTGGCTTGCCTTTCCCTGGTGACAGTGCTACCGGGCATCTTTTCCTGGGCTTGCTGGCCAGTTGCATCTCATTGGAATGGCATCTCTTTGAGCCCTCTGCCCATTGTCTACATCTGGAAAACCCAACAGCCTGTCCCATTTTTAGTGTCCCGAGTTTAAGCATTTCTCTGCCCAAACCATCAAGCAGCTTCGTCCAGAGGCGTCTTCATCAGTGCCTGAGCCCCAGGTCTCTTTTGAGGAGGGCGTGGGATCATCTGATTTCTCCTGTGGGCACTGAGTCACCACCATCCTCGGGAACCCTGGGAACATTGTCAGAAGACCTCCTTCCCCCAAACCTCAACTGTGCCTGGACCCCTTCCCCACCCACGGCAGAGGGCTGCATGTCGTTTTAGTAGTGTCAGGAGACTTGGGTCCTGGTCACAGTTTCACCATGAGTGTAAGAGGCGAGTGCTGGGCCTCCGTTTCCCTGCACAGAGTGGGGGAGGGACGTCCGTGTTCTCCAGTGGGTGGCTCAGGCTGGGTGCTGGAGGAAGAGCCTCTAGGAAGAGAGGGCTGTGCCTTTGTGTGCAGGGATGGTGGTGCCTCCGAGGCCAGGACTGGCTCCCATCTCTGCTCCTCCTCCCACTGCTCCTCCACGCCACTCGTCCTGGCTGGGGGCCCAGGAGGAGAGGTCTCTGCAGAGGCCCTGCACCCCACACTGGGTCCCCCACTCCACATGTTGGGAAGAAGGAATTTAAGTCTGGAACTGAGAATGCACTGCCACGATGGTGACTGTTGTCCTTATTGGACACCAGGGAGGTAGCTGTCCTTGGCATTTATTGAGTGCCCAGTGTATGCACTAGGCTGTTCATGCATCTGCAGAGACCAGGGTTTTCTTGATGGTTTGGCAGAGAGATGCTTAAACTCAGGGCACTGGGAACAGGACAGGCTGTCGGGTTTTCAGGTGGAAGCACTGGCTTGTAGATGAGTGCAGCTGGGCGGTGGAGCCGTGAGCTGAGGCCGCTGCTCCCAGAGTGAGGCTCCTGTGGACCATCCCGTCACTCCAGCCTGCCCCAGGCCTCTCCACACCTGCTCAGTGCCGGGCATCAGGCCATGGCGGGTGGGCGACCTGATGCCTCGTTCTGCCCCTTCATGTGTAGACACAGCTGGTGTCCAGCAGCATGTTCCAATCGAGGTCACCAGACGGACAGAACAGATTCTGTGGCAGTAAAGTACCAACGTGCAAGCAGCACCTACCGCCATGCCAGGCAGGGGCTGAGTCACACGCCCCTAAACAGGGAATAAACTGTTCTGACTGCCACGGAGTTTCTTTCTCTCTAGCAGCTAAATGAGCACTATGAACAGTTGTAGCAGCACCACCAGACACCGAGTAACTGGCCCCCAAGCCCTGTTCCAGCAGCCGTAACTGCAGCTCCAACTGCACAGGAAACCGGTTTCAGTAACTCACTCCTGGGAAGAGACCACCCGCCACGGGCTGGCTCTGGCCGGTTTACAGAGGCTGTGCACTTGTGTGCCTTTGTGTCCTGAAGACCTTTTGAGGTATAGGGCCTAATTATAATACATTTAAATATTAGGTCTCCACCCCATAGTGAACATGGGTCATATGTTGCATGTATGTATGTTTGGTATACATGCATCAGGACCATCCTCATGAATATTCACAGCTCCCCCGTAACCTGTGGAAGGTTTCTATTCAGCCAGCCTGTCCAGCGTAAAGCTCCTGCCCCAACTCCCCCTCCTTCTGTGTGCCAGGCTCTGGCCTTGGCAGGAGGCACACGTCCCAGCCTGCAGGATGGCCACGTTGCGCACTATAAACTTTCATAAGAAATCAAGTCTCTGGTTGTGCCAGAAGCTCTTTAGTTTAATGCAGTCTCATACCAGGCCTCAGCGACACGATGTACCCATGTAACAAACCTGCACGTGAAGCCCCTGAACCTAAAATGAAGCGAAGAAAAAAAGTCTCCTTTTGTTTTCCGAATGTATGAATCTTGTGATTTTTTTAAGTTAACGGAGTGAATGGAATGCTTCCTTTGTAGAGCAGCATTTCAGGTCTGCGTTAGCTTTCATTACCCTGTCACTCCGCAACACTCCGGTTAATTTCCCTGACTGTGTGTGTACTTGTCAGTCAACTCACAGTTGCTGAAGCAGCAGGAAAACGCACACTTGTCTTCCCCTTGGTCTGGGTCATAGAGCGGCAGGTCTTTCATCCCATGTTTGACAGGTATCTCTGTGCTGGAGATTTTCAAACAGGAATTTACATGTGGCTTTTTAAACATGTTTGCAATTTCTCTGCTATTCTCCTCCTGAGAGGTGGCCGTCTATGCCTCTTCTCATGGGGCCGGGCACTAGTGCTCACTTCTCCCTGACAGGTGACGTGGAGGGGATGCTGAGAAACTTCCCAAGCTACGTTTCAAAAGGCCACGAGCCTCTGCCTGGTTTACTCCAGTCACTCACCTGTGGCGCCCTCGGCCACCAAGTCAAGGCTCTGAAATGTCCTGCGATTGCCCGGCTGCTTGGAAGCCCAGAACAACAGAAAGTCTCCTGTAGGTTCTCCAGCCAAGCCCAGTGACCCTGGCAGACCCAGGAGTGATGTCCCCTCTGGATGATTCCAGCCCCTTGCTGTGGATTCAGCCCCAGCCAGTGAGCCTTCTCTGCAATCCCCAGACATCAACACGTAGCAAGAAGCTCTCTTTTCTGTGTCTTGTGTGAATTCCTATCCCCATGAAGCATCAACAAAACAAAATGGTTGTTTTCTACCAGCATTTTGGGGTATTCATTTAAAAAAATGAATAAATTCCCAATAAACGCACCCGGAATAACACACTTGTAGCACATTCACAAGGTACAGAAGAAGGCACACTGAAATCTGGGTTTCTGCCTTTCCCTCTTCTGCAGCCTGCCAGCTCCCGCCTCTGGAAGTAACGGCTGTTTAGTTTTTGTACATTTGTCTAGATGTATTAATTGAACAATCACATATTACAGACACCGTGACAAAGCTTTCTAAGGGCTTTGCCTGCCAGTGTGAAAGACACATTCAGTTTTCATTCCCTGTAAACACCCAAGTGGCAGCAGGAAGGAAAGCCTTTTGCTCTTTTCAACTGTTCCCTATAAATGGAAGTCCAAGCTGCTCTTTTAAAAGTTGCTTTTGAATGCTGTTCCTCCAATGAGATGACTTTTATTTAATGTATTCTCTATTTTTAAAAAAAATTCTTCCTCAATTTGCATTGGTGATGTGTATGTTTTCTAGTGTTTTTTAAAGTCTCACCACTGTCTCTCTCTCTCATGCATATATATATATATGCAACACATGTATGTGTATATACATATGTATATATATCCACGTATATTACGTGCAAACACATTTTTCTGTTCAGTTGTTAACCATTATAATTCTCTATTTAGACAGGTAATATTACCTGTTCCTTCCCAAATCCTGTCAGTCACTTTCTCAATTAGGTAATCCGTGAAAAAATGGCAATGTCTATGTTAATGCAGTTTTTATATCTCACCAATGCCCATTTGATTGAATAGTTCTTAAAGCTTGTGATGAATCCGCAGTGATGGAAATTTGCACTGAACCATTTCATTTTGTAATGGGTATCTACTTTGTTTTAAATGTGATAATGCTCTCATTTTTATTCTCTAATTTTCAGTTGTTCCGTCTTTTGCAGGACCTGTCAGCTGCCTTCCAAGTGCTAATTCTCATGAAGAGATAATAAGAATGGGTGTGACTGGGTGTTGATTGATGAGCCGAACACATTTAATCCTGGAGTTTGAGGTTATCGGAACTCCCCATTTAGAAAATCATCCTGTATTTCCAGATAAACACATTGTTGAACATATAATGCTTCTTTTTTCTTCATCTCCGAGTGAATAGCCAGTCTTTCATGTATACATTCACAGAGAAAGCTCTCAAGAACTCAAAGAGATTCAGAAATTAGTAAGTATATTGCATACAGAGAAAAACAGTAGATGATATAGATAGCTGATAAGAGATTCTATACAATTCCTATGAGTTATATTCTTAGAGATTAACTTTTAAAAATTGAATTTAGGCCAGGCACAGTGGCTCACTCCTGTAATCCCAACACTTTGGGAGGCCGAAGTGGGTGGATCACCTGAGGTCAGGAGTTCAAGACCAGCCTGGCCAACACAGTGAAAACCCATCTCTACTAAACATACAAACATTAGCCGAGCGTGGTGGTGCCTGCCTGTAGTTCCAGCTACTAGGGAGGCTGAGGCAGGAGAATCGCTTGAATCCAGGAGGCGGAGGTTGCAGTGAGCCAAGATCGCACCACTGGACTCCAGCACCGCTGGACGACAGAACCAGACTCTTGTCTCAAAAAAAAAAAAAATTGACTTTATACAAAGGCATTTTATACTTTCATCTGGAACAAATTTAAAACTGCCGAATACAGAAATAGCTGATGACTCAGGAATAGTAAAATGGGTGGGGATAGTCTTTCAAATCCAGGAAGGAACCTCATTTTATTCTGAATGTGTTTTGACCCTCTTCACCCTGAATTTTCACTATAGAATATATTTGGAAGGTGGGTCTTTTTTCCTCATTTAACGTTTATCTCATACACAGGGAATAGTACTGTAGGTGTGGGATTCAGATTTTGAAATGAAGCATGGACTCTGAGTGGCCCCTTGTCCTGTGAAAGTGCGCTGGTCTGGAGAGCGGCAGTTGGACCCCAGAGTGTGGCGCGTGTTCCTGTGTTCATTTGAACATTCTCTGATGACCTGTCGCTGAGGTCATGTGATGATGCGTATCCTGTCTCCACCCCAACTGCCGCTGGGTTTGAACTGCCGGCTGGACCACTCACCAGAATGGGAGGCAGCCTCTGCTGCTGTGGTGAAGGTAGGCTCACGTCCGTCTTCTCACTGCAGCTTCTTCACACGGGCCACTTGCACGTAAAATGTCTTCCTGATTTATTTATTTTTTCCCCAACTCCAGTTGGATATTAAGAAATCATTATTTTTAAGTATATACTGGCGGAAGTAAATAAGGAACAACAATTTTGATTTTTCTCCTTCACTTTCCTCATTCTCCCAGAAACTGCTGATTTTGTCAGCTGTTGAGCTGTATTTCTCCATTTCTTGTATGGGCCCATGAATTCTGGGCTTCCAAATCCCAAGTGAATATCAGCCTCCAGCCAGAGCTCCCCTGTCTAGGGTACCAAGCTTGCTTGTGTGACCCTTGCTTCAAGGGCCCTCTCCTCGGAGACACAATGGCTTCTGCCCCTGCCTGGGCTACAGAACTTTTTCGTGTGTTCAGTCTGCTCTTAGGATCTTAGGGAAGAAGAGAAGAGTCCTGCCTGTACCAGTGTGAATGCCTGTGCCTGGAATGCTTGCCCACGGCTTCCCTGGGCTGGCTCCCTCTGGGAAGCTTTCCTCCACTCTTCCCAGATTTCCCGTGAACAGCATGCTTGTAGCACCATGGCCGCTCACACCCCCTGTGCAGATGGCATTGGATCGTCTCTCTCTCTGCCTATATTCTTCTCTGGAGCACAAGCTCTAAGGGTGGGAATATCATTGTGTCCTCAGCACCTAGCTAGATCCTTTGGACAAAGGAAATACAGAAAACAGTTGACAAAATAACTGAATTCAGAATCTTCAACTCAGATTTCCGTGTCAGGATCTAAAAACTGTCTGTGCAGCCATTTGGACCTCAGTGTGAAGTGGTGTTAAAAGGTGAAGTCTATTCTTCAGGAAGTAAACCTCTGCCAGGCGGATCATGCTCAGACATTCGATTGAAGTTTGTCCAACAGTTTCTTGCTTTGGAAGGTGTCCCTCTTGGTGGAACACAGTAAGTGTCAAAGATGGACAACTAGTCAATCCCCTGTTTGTACATGTATAGGAGAAGATCCCAAATTAATGTTTGGAGGACAATTTTGTTGTAACAGACACTGTTGAGGCTCAGTTGTACAGAACTGGAAAAGCCTTTAGATGTGCATGTGTCTAGATTCAGCCTTTGTTTAACATATATTCCAATCCTGATCCTGCCTTCGCCAGCTGCAAAGAGTAGCTGACATGTGACCACAACACAGGAGCTGCTGAAGAGGGAGTATTACCACCTCCAACTCGCGGCCACCTGGTATTTTCAAAAGCCAGCCGAGAGAGATTTACAGAGCTATGGAGAGAACATGCAGTCCATCCAGGCATCTCAGTGAGCTAAATTTCTCAGTCAGTCACCCCGTGGCTTCTGGATGTCACACTTCCTGCCCATACCAAATGGGGCACCTCAAAAGGAGCAGAGCCTAAGAAATGGGATTTAGTATTTACTGTAAAATTGGGTTTTTGAGACTCCCCATATTCCACAGATTCATCTCCAAAGGCCTCAGCTTTCTCTTTTAATACAAGGCAGAGAGGCACAGACCACAGCTTAAATAATTTATTAGTTGCTGATTTTCCCCAAGTTTGAGTAAGACCCTTCTTTTAACAGACAAAGTGTGGGTGAGATGGCAAAATAATTCACAAAAAACTGGTGCCTCTTCTTTTTTGAGGTGGTTATGGGCTTGTGGAACTCAGCTGGTGACACTTACCTTATAAGTGGACTGGAAGGTGTATGTGGGGTCGTCTTTATCCTCTGGGATGTATCTTCACTGAATTAAACTGACTTCCATCTAACTGGAAAACTGTAAAGGCTCATTATAGAAGCCATCTGCTTCCACCAGATGGCTATACCTTCTTCACAGGCAGCCACAATCAATGTTGAGCCGCAAGTTGAGGCCTTGGCCAAGCACACGGCTGCAGCTTTGAGTAATACGCACCGTGCCCTTACCCTCCTGAGGACATCGCTCAGATTAGGCAGGTGGCCTTACCAAACCGAATGGCAAAGCCATTTTAACAGCAACTTAAGGGGGAACTTGTGCTTCGATCAAAATGAAATGTTGCAGCACATTCCAGACTACTCACATATTACCCAGGCTAAGAAAGCTTTAGACACTCGTATCTCTGCCACTGATGCACTGTCAGCCAACTCCATATCGGCTTGCTCCCAACAACTGCCCAGTCTTTGGAAAACCTTCCTGTTAGTTTACCTGGGATAATTTTACTTTTCTTTGATGTTGTCGAGTATATTATGATTGTACTCTTTGTGGAGGAACACAAGATAAGCTTACTCGATACCTTCTTAAATTGGATCCTTATTAATCCTCCAGGTTTCACTTTTTGCTGGAACTCAGAGCTGCAAATGATGCTTAACATACCAACGCTTTCTGACTGAGCTCCCCTCTACCCTGAATACAAGAGACCCTAATAGTTATGTGGAAATGTCATCGCCCCTGTTCAGCATGAAGTTACAGAAGATGGACCTTCATCCTTCTGCAACCCCTGGATTAAGGGTCCTCTTGTAAAAGGGAGGGGGGGAATATGTAAGAAACATTCAAACCACAGCGACTCCATTTTGAACAAGGGCTAAAAAAAATGAAGCTGGGTCCTGTTGGGCTGCATTTCCCAGGTGGTTAAGCATTCCTAGCCTCAAGATATTTACAATTGAGGGGACAGATTAATAATGTCTCCTAAACACACTCAGGACTTAACAGACCCAGGAATGTCTTGATACTTTGAGAACAAAAGCACTTCTAGTTTTAAATATGCATTGTACCTAGGATGGATGCTTTCGTACTTTTGGAAATGGCCTACCCTGTCTATGGAGTCACTATTCGTTCACTCCTTTAATAAAGTTGCTTCTGTTTCGCACTGTGGACTTGCTCCAAATTCTTCCTTGCATGACTTCCAAGAACCCTCTCTTGGTGTCTGGATTCAGACCCCTTTCTAGTAACAGGTGGATCTACCATTCTGGGGTCTGGAGGATGGTAGCCCTCTTCTCACAGCTCCACTAGGCAGTGCCCCAGTGGGGACTTTATATGGAGACTTTAACCCCACATCTCCCCACTACACCATCCTAGTTAGAGGTTCTCTGGATTTTGTATACATTTTCTGAAATCTGGGCAGAGGTTCCTAAGCCTCACTGTGCACCTGCAGGCTTAACACCACGTGGAAGTTGCCAAGGCTTACAGTTTGCACCCTCGGAAGCAGCAGCCCAAGTTTCACCTTGATCACTGTTAGCTGTGGCTGGAGCTGGAGTGGCCAAAGTGCAGGGCATCATGTCTTGAGGCTGCACAGAGCAGCAGGGCCCTGAGCCTGGCCTATAAAACCATTCAGTCTTCCTAGGCCTCCAGGCCTATGATCAGAAGAACTGTCACGGAGGTCTCTGAAATGCTTCTGAGGCTGTTTTTTCATTGTCTTGTCGGTTAGCAATTGATTCCTCTTTCCCTTCGGCAAATTTCTGCAACCTGCTTTTAATACCTCCCCCTGAAAATGGATTTTTCTTATCTACTGCATGGCCAGACTGCAAATTTTCCAAATGTTTAAGCTCAGCTTCTCTTTTAAACGTAAGTTCCAGTTTCAGGTCATTTCTTTAACTCAGGTATATGATCACAGGCTTTTAGAAGCATCTAGGTCAAATCTTGAATGCTTTGGCTGCTTAGAAATTTCTCCTACAAGATACCCTAAAATCACCTCTCTCAAGTTCAATGCTCCACCAATTCTTTGAGCAGGAGCACAATGCCACCAGTCTCTTTTCTGAAGCATACGAGAGTGACCTTTACTCCAGTTCCCAATAAGGATTTTATCTCCATATGAAACCTACTCAGCCTGGACTTCATTGTCCATATCACTATCTACTTGCATTTTGGTCACAACTATTTAACAGGTCTCTAGGACGTTCAATTTTTTTCCTAATCTTCCTGTCTCCTGAGCCTTCCAAACCCTTACAGCCTCAGATTATTGCCAATTCCAAAGCTGCTTCTGTATTTTAAGGTATCTTTGAAACAGTGTCTCACTCCCAGTACCATTTTTTTGTACTAGTTCATTCTTGCATTGTTACAAAGAAATGCCTGAGACTGGTTAATTTCCAAAGAAAAGTTTAATTGGCTCATGGTTCCATAGGTTGTACAGGAAGCAAGGCAGCATCTGCTCAGCTTCAATTATGGTGGAAGGTGAAGGGGAAACTGGCACTTCACATGGCTGGAGCAGGAGAGGTGGGGGGCAGGCACTACACACTTTTAAACATGATCTCATGATAACTTGCTATTGCCACGAAAACAGCAAGGGGGATGGTGTTAAACCACGAGAAACTGCCCCCATGACCCAGTCACCTCCCACGAGGCCCCATCTTCAACACTGGGGATTACAGTTGAACATGAGATTTGGGTAGGGATAGAGATCCAAACCATATGACGCTGAGCATCAAATATATGCAGAAAAAAAGCATTTGACATATTCAACATCTACTAGTGATGAAAACTCTCAGCAAATTAGGTATATAAAGAATGTGCAACTACACAATAAAAGCCACATATGACAGAGCCACAGCTAGCATCATAATCAACAGGATCCAGAACAAGACAAGGATGCCCTGTCACTACTTCTATTCAGTTTAGGCAACAGAAACAAAAAGCATCCAAATTAGAAAGAAAAACGTTGAGTTGTCCATTTGCAGATGACATGATTTTTTTTTTCTTGAGACAGTTTCTGTCACCCAGACTGAAGTGCAGTGGCATGATCATGGCTTACTTCAGCCTCCACCTCCCTGTCTCAAGTGATCCTCCCGCCTCAGCCTCCCCAGTAGCTGGAACTACAGGCATATGCCACCACACATGGTTTTTAATTTTTTTTTTGTAGAGACATGGTCTATGTTGCCCAGGTTGGTCTCAAACTCCTGAACTCAAGCTCCATGACATTGATCTGGGCAGTGACATTTTGGATTTTACCCTAAAAGCACAGACAACAACAAAAGCAAAAATAGACAAATGAGATTACAGCAAACTGAAAAGCTTCTGCATAGCAAAGGATACAGTGAACAGAGTGGAGAGAAAACCTACAGAATGGGAGAAAATATTTACAAACCACACATCTGACAAGGGGCTACTATCACAAAAATATAAAGAATTCAAACAACTCAATAGCAAGAAACAAAGAAATCTGAGGCTGGGCGTGGTGCCTCATGCCTGTTATCCCAGCACTTAGGGAGGCCGAGGCAGGTGGATCACAAGGTCAACAGATCGAGACCATCCTGGCCAACATGGTGAAATCCCTTCTCCACTAAAAACACAAAAAATTAGCTGGGTATGATGGTGCACACCTGTAGTCCCAGCTACTCGGGAGGCTGAAGCAGAAGAATTGCTTGAATCCGGGAGGCAGCGGTTGCAGTGAGCCAAGATCGCACCACTGCACTCCAGCCTGGCAACAGAGCAAGACTCCTTCTCAAAAAAAAAAAAAAAAAAAAAAAAAAAAAAAAAAAAATTTGAAAATGGGCAAATGACTTGAATAGTCATTTCTCAAAGGAAGACATACAAATGACCAACTAGTGTCTGAAAAAAATGCTCAAATCACTAATCAGGGAAACGCAAATCAAAACCACAAGGTATTTCCTCACACCTTTCAGAATGGCTGTTATCAAAAACAAGAGATAAATGTTGGTGATGCTGTGGAGAGAAGGGCACCTTGTACATTTTTGGGAATGTGATTAGTACAGCCATTATGGAATACAGTATGGAGGTTCCTCAGAAAATTAAAAATAGAACTACCATGTGATCTAGCAATTTAATTCTGGGTATATATCCAAAAGAAGTGAAATCGGTACTTTTGCACTCCCATGTTCATTTCGGCATTATTCACAATAACCAAGACATGGAATCAACCTAAGTGCCCATCAATGGATGAATGGATTAAAAATGTGGTAAATATACACAATTGAGTACTATTCAGCCACAAAATGAGAGAGATCCTCTCATTTGTGACAACACAGATGAACCTGTAGGACGTTATGCTAAGTGAAATAAGCCAGACGCACAAAGACAAATACCACATATTCTCACTCATATGTGGAAGCTAAAATGATGGAACTTAAACAGAGTAGAATCATGACGACCAGAGGCTGGAGTGGTTGAGATCAGGGAGGGCTGCATATATGTTAATCAAAGGATATAAACTTTCAGTCGGATAGAAGGAATACATTCAGTAGATCTAACCTACTACACAGTGAATTACACTTAATAACTTATTGTACTCTTGAGAAATGCTAAGAGAGTAGGTGTTAAGTGTGTCAACTACAAAAATGATCAAAATGTGCCATAATACGTATGTTAATTAGCTAGATTTAGTCATTCCACAATGTATATATACTTTAAAACATCATGTTCTACATGGCAAATACATACAATTTTAATCTTTTTTAGCATTAAAAAGAAAGGAATATTTCCTTGTTTTTCTTCCCAGCCTACTGAAAGATAGGATGGGTAACAATCTGAGTTGTAAAACAAAACAAAACTCCATTATATAGATAGGGCACCAAATGTTTGCTTTGCCTTTCCTCTCAGCCCTGGCCCATAGGAAGCCAGTTAGTACAGTGTCGATCCGGAGTTCCTGATGCAGAGAGATTAAAATATTTCATAATCTTTCCAGTTTCATCAGAATTCATTTTCTAAATTTTAGCTTAGGTTGAAATTCTTCCATAAAGATTAAAGACCCTAAAGAAATCAAATCCCATGCTTTTATTTTACACAATGTAGCATTTTGATGAAATTTCCTATCTAGTAAATGTCATAGTATATGGGTAGGTGATTGGATGGTTTCAATTATCACTATTAACTGTTGTTCATCAAGTCCTACTAATATTTCCTTTATGTTTAGTGCATTTAAAGAAAAATAACTTTGTTCTGAGCAAAATACAGTTAGCTTTGCTTCACTACTTAAAATTAAGCTGCATCATTTTTACCTATGTAGATTTTGTACAGTGTTCAGATATAGTATCATATAAAATTATATTTGAGCCATTATATAGACATTATTGTTCTTCTAATAGCAAATCTCATCTAGTCCAAGAAAGTAACAAACATATTGTTGGATTATATGTATCTTCTAGAAAATGCCTATACCACTATATTCTGAATGAGATAAAATAGATACATAACTCTATATCATGTCCAGATAGTCTTGTTTTGACTTCCTATTTGCTTTCATGTTCCTTGATTTTATTGCTTTTTAAATATACCCTGGAATAAGCACAGTAGATTTCATTTTGATTTTTAAAGAGGAGCTTATACTTATTGTGCTATAAAATCCAGTAACTTCCCAATTTCCAAGCTATGCTATTTTTATGAGTAATTTTTGATATTTAATCAGATTTGACATTTGAGAGTTTAATTTTATGAGCATGGAAGTGACAGAAAACATTTATATTAATTCTGAGAGTAAGTTCTTATAGACATTCCTTCAATGTTATTTATTAAATCTAAAAAGGGCTTATTTAAAAATCAGACTAGGTACAAGAATAGCTAAAATCTCTTACAGTTATTATTTTATTAGACACGTATGTTTGAAATAATACTATATTATTTCATTGTATACATTAAAATTTAACTCTTTGTCTTTTCTGCTATAGAACTGAACTGCAAGAAAAAATATTTGTTTTCTAAGTTCTGGAAATGCTTTAATTGGACCTTTAGTGTTAAATATCCATTTCAGTGAACAGATTCCATGGTACTGGACAGAATATACATTTTTAAATACTTTTTAAAAATTCAACTTTTAAGTTCAGGGGCACATGACGTGCAGGTTTGTTATATAGGTAAATTGTGTTATGGGGGTCTGCTGTACAGATGACTTCATCACCCAGGTATTAAACCTAGTACCCA